CTTACTTAGTGTAAAAGACAAAGTTCATCTATATTGTCAATTGTCTGAATTTTTATAATAATTTGAGAGATATTCCAAAATGTGCATTGTAAAAAGAGTGTCCAATTGAATTGTATTTATGGCTCAGTATTTTGCATATAGTGGCTACCACATAAGAGGGAGATATATGATATCGCGGACTTTTATTTAAGATAAACAATCTTACGGTACATAATCTGGATGTGAGTCTAACGGTATAGGCAGCGCATGCCAAAGTAGCTCTCAGGACGCAAGAATTTTTTCCGACTTACTTAATACTCATCGTTATATTATGACCAAAATTACACAAAACCTCTGTAAATTGTAGCCTTTATGTTATTCTGGTGTAGAAGATGTATTTATGTGAAGTTTCATCTAAATCCGTTCAGTCGTTCAGGCGTGAAAGAGCCACAAATATTCATGCATACATCCATCCTCACAAACTTTCACATTCATACCGGTATAGACATGATATTCATTTCAAAAGCAACTGTAATGAAACAGAAGTAAGTCTCTGGAGTTGACTAAATACAAAGCTACGATCATTTGAATAAAACAACGTACTTCTTATCGTTTTTAATTGTCGGGGAACTCTCAGGAAACTCTGTGAAACAAAGCCAATTATAAATGTTCACTGTTCAAATCAAAACTTTCTTAAATCGCCAGACTTTCTTTCCACAAGTTGCTAAATGCATAATGTAGTATTTGCGAGAAAATGGTCAGGACTAAAAATCTTTATCCTCTCTACAGATGTTGCAAGGCTTAACAAACATGTTGAGATAAAATTATTCCCAGAAAATATTTTTATTACTTTTTCAGTTTAGGACAGTATCTTAGATTCCTATCAACTGACGATTATCACTGGTCACTCAACTAGATGAACAAAATACGGGCATCGATTACACAATAACTATTCTGTTTAAATTAATACATGAATGAAATTATTGGTATATCTAACCATAATAGCTTTATACAGAGTGAGTCAGCAAGATTCTCCCGCTCCATTGTTATTCGAGGAAACAATTTTTGAACTGCTCATTTTTTTTGCAGTTATATAGATAAATACTATCTTTTGAAATAATTTTCTGGCATATTGGGTGATTCAGACAAGCGTGGCCAACCAAAGTTATATTTGTTTTGAATGGAACACTGTAGAGAATTCGTTTAAAAAAATACTGACTTTTGGACACTTCTATTCAATAAAACATTTGGGCGTTATTGTTCATATTGAAAAAATTTTGAGTGAGTGATCGTAAATAAATGAATTTTTTGTAGTTACAACAATTATTAAAATATCACTTTTAGTATACTCCTTAAGAAAAATGTGGAGAAATGTTGAAGCAACTCATTCATTAATGAAAAAATACTGGGTCCATTCAAAAAAGTTGAGTTATGTCTGTTTGAAAATGAATGAAACTTGACCGGTTTCACCAAGCACCCTATATATTGTTTCCGAAAGTTAACATTTCAGAAATCATCATAGTGATTTTTTGGGAAAGAAAGTTTTTGGCTTTCTACTACTCCATCTGATACAAAAAAATGGATGAGAGAATCTTCCAAAGAAAGGAAGGATTAATCAATTTGAAAATGAGTGACTCTATACATGGATGTGTAGATCATGCAAAGAAGTAACTTTCAGACACAAACTGAAAGAAAATCCTATTCTGGAATAACTTGGCAATGCCGCGATGGAAATTCGAAAACAGAAATTCCTCAGAAAACTTTGAAATATGGAATGGAATGACGTTTTCATATACTGGGTGTTCCATTTGAAAAATGGATGCGAGTATGCGAGAAAATAATTTTAAAAAATAGTAATTATCGATATCACTGCGAAAAAAAAATGAGCGAATCGAAAATGTGTTTTCCCTGATAGTAATGGGCCGAGGGAATCTTGTTGATTCACCCTGTATTCAGATGGAACAATAATTCGAAACAAATATTGGTCCATTTGAATTAATCAATTCGAAGGGTGGTATGGAGATAATGTTCATGCAATTTTCGGTCACTTGATGCAGTGTTTTGAAACCTCATCTCCTAAACGAAAAATCAAAATTGATTTTTCCCTAAAGAAATGTATATTCACAGGCATTGAGTTCAGGATTTAATATCTGTAAAACCTTCAGTTGGGTGCGCGAACAGCTATCAGATGATGATAATTCAGCTCTTCTTTCTTTAGAAAAAAAGTTTTGGCTTTGTACTTCTTCATCTCCATACAAAAAATATGGAAAACAGGGGAAAGAAGGGAGAAAGCAAATAATTTTCAATCAACTCCACAAAGATATGCAAATCATCCTTAGGAGTAACTTTTAAATAGAATCTGAAAAAAAACGTTTGAAACAACTACTTTCATATGAATATTGAACTATACGAAATTCAGTTTGTACTCCAAATCTTCGTTATAATTCAGTTCTATTGAGTTCAGTGTTGATATTTTCGAAGATGTTACAAATTCATTCATCTGAATGCTAAACAATAACAAACATAGCAATTTTCTATTTCATCAGTTCGGACTTCCATTGTCTAATATGATATAAATTGATTTGAAATTCCTGAAAAAAAGATTAACCGAAAATAACAAATTTATTAAACAAAGAAACAGAAATCGCAAAGAAATAACATGCAAGCAAACAATCAAAAAAATTGAAATAATAGTAAAAAGCTGGAAATTAAAAAATGAAAGCATTATTAATAAAAAATGAAAAATAAAAATTAAAGGATTTCAAACCAAGTTACGTCACGACGTTTCGATTGTTAGTATCCA